ATATCTGGATTCTTTCATAGAATCTGGTCACAGTGGAGTACGATTGACATTTTTATTTCGTCTGTCTAAATTGTTTAGTTAATAACATGGATTTTGTACAAAAGTCGATTGCTTGGGTACCTCTGTCCCATTCGTGTTTCAATCGCAAAGCAGTCGCGTTTGCATGACTGTGTTTCGTTTGAAGGGTGGGATATGGCAGTGAAATTAGAGGATACAGAGGAATAACACCTGAGTCCTCTGGAATGGCAACGCATGGGGGTATCAAGGGTAAAACAGTATACTCTGTTATGTCCATAGTACTGCTCATGTCTATAGGCGACGGATACCACTTTCCATCAGGTGAGCCGTCAGCTTGTTTGCCATTCTAAGTTGTATAAAAAAAACTATTAACTAGTAAGTAACTCGATAGACTTTGTCCTATACAAATTACCTAGTCACAAGTGGACTTATAATAACGATGTGATAGTTCGTTTTAGTTCTTCTGATGTCATAAATGTGAGTTTGTGAGTTTGAGGTGTTAAATGTTTGTTACTGAATCACGCACGTCTAAACTAGTTTGATTGAAGTTTAGCACACAAATAGTCCTTATTTTTGATAAACATATATCGTACTTTTATATTATTTATTCACGCAAGCAAAGACGTGTATTTCAACTAATATTGTAAATATGAATGTTTCTAAGGATTTTTGGATATTACTCAATATTGCTTTAATAGCAATACAGATTCGAAAGAATTCAGCCCCTAGAGGTGCAGCTGAGTTTTCAGTACAATTAATCGACAAACTAAAATAGTAATTAGTATAGATTTACTATTGCATCCTTAGTGTCTTAATTAAAAGTTTTTGAATGTTCTAATTTTAGAAAGCAATTAACATAACTTACTTATAAATACTGATTTAAACAAGTTGGTTACACGAATGAAATAAGAAAAAATTTTCTTAGGTAAAGCACTAGTTAAAAAATCGCCCCCTTTCAAAGCAATAAAGATGGCGGGAAATGTGTTTTTCTTAACTAAGTTATGTAACTTGTTTTTTAGATCGTTTTTCCTATTTAAAAAAATGAGTTAACTCGATTTAGTATAAAGTGTATTGTGTTTATGAGGGATAATGGAATAGTAACCCGCCTGCAGTATCGGTATACGATTGCGGGGCAGCAGTGAAAGATGACAGGTGAGGATGAAAGCAGGATTGGATGACTGTGATGGTTTGTAAGTGATTGCGTGGAAGTTGTCCTGTCTCCTCATAGCAAGCAATATAATCTATATTGCTTAGCTATGAGGCCGCTAGTCCCCATAACTTTCCGTCCAGAGAACCGTATTGAACTCTCACTAGTCTTGGATCTATTAAACACACCTAAAATGTGTACATGGTGCCGCGGACCGGCCGTGTCGTGGCGTCGTATTATGTTGTAATGGTAATCATTTCTGTAATATGGTAATGTCGGTGCTCGCCCATGGGCCGTGCTTCTTGCTGGTGATTGCTCTCGGACGGGCCTGGCGTGCACATAGTCCTCGCAACCGTTAGACACGACGTTTTGAGAAAATACAAATATTTGAGTTAAAAAGTTTCTGAGGAAGACTTTACGTAGACGTTTTTGTTGTAAAATCTTTATTGTATATTTAAAGTCGTCTGTATGGATACCTCTGGCATACTCGTGTTTCCAAGATTTTCACATGAATTTTATAGACTGAATAATAATTTTACTGTGTTTATCTTTAACGAAGAAAGCTAGCGTACGAATATATACAAATTTCTTTGAATTGTTTGATCTAGAAAAAAAACTCACTTCAATTATGCATAAATATAAATAATATATTAATAAATCAAATAAATATTATCACAGATTAAATAAAAATTAAAAACAATTATTGACACCTATTGCTAAAGCTAATTGTTATTATTTTTTCTGTTAAGCCTGAAAAGACACGTCCCAAATTACAGGAAACGTCTACAAAGGTCCACAGTTAATACACAATACTATAACAATTGCCGACTCTGTCCATCTCTGAGGCGGCAGCAGGCGTGAGGTATCTCAGGAATTTTAATCGCATCGAAGCCCCCAGCTCGGCTCGGACGCAATAAAAACAAAAACTGAGGACAGGTTGAATTTCGGATATGAACCGGCATCATCTAGCCCGACCTTCGGGCCTTTGTTTTAATGTACACTGTAATAATGAGTTTTTGCTATCGAATTTTTGTGGCTACATCTATGTAATGAGTGTTAGGCATCTAACATTCAATGTTCAAATAACTGTTTGTGTCGCGATATTTGTTAGCGAGATCGAGAATATGCCCTACATGCCTAATAGTAAAAACCCAAATAAATAGTAAAAATGAAAAAGAAACACACTTCAATTGTAGCAAACTAAGTTATTTTGAATTAAAAACTAAACTTATTTTGATAAAATTTCTACGGGATCAATATTTATATATATCTTTTCAAATAAAAAAAGGTTTTTCCAAATCGGTTAACAACTGACGGAGTTATGAGGTGACAAAAAAAAAAAGTACAACCGAATTGAGAATCTCTTTCTTTTAGAAATCGGTTGAAAATAAAAACAATCGCAGTCGAAAATACGAGTAATAAAGGTTTGACATTAGTGCGTTATAAAAAATAACTGACATTATGTAACATGAGAGTATTGACATCCTAGATACTAATTATAATAATAGAGGAGATCCAGGAGTGGTCACGTAAATCGCATTCCTAGAGATAGGTACGCGTCGTAATGCGTTAATGGTTAGTGTAACCAATGGTGTTGCTCACCAGCTAACTCCTAGTTACCTTGCACAAAATGTCTAAAAGGATTTCTATTATCTTAATCGTTTTGTAGCCACGGAATAATTCAAATATATTACGTTTAAAAATGTTTTACAAACATCCACATAAAGTATAGAAATCAATTGTCTTGTACCTATCTAATTGTCTACCATCATGCCAGGTTCCTTATAAGGCAGGTAAAGAGAACAGAGTGATAAACTCTGTACATATCTCTCATTGTAACATTATATGCGGGTAACCATAACTCTACATATAATAATAATGATCCACTAAAATATCAATAATAATAGTTATATAATCGATTAGAAAATGAAACAAAAGCTGAAATATAAATTTTAGAGGGAAAAACTCGAATGTGCTGGCCGTATACAGCAGATAGGCAACAAGAAGAAAAAGACTTGAAATTAGTTCCGTAGATTCACAAGTGGGACAGAGAACGACTATAGATATGTTGGAAAGGGATGGACGCTTGGTTGAGTGAGTCGAAAAGCAACCGGTCCAAGGGGAGGCAGATGCTCTTAAAACCCCCACGGCAAACTTACAGATTCCGACAATAAGAAAATAATTATTAAAAACAATTCCAATGCATCTTTACACCCCACCCGATTTACCTGGCTCAGTAATAAATAAATATTCGGTAGATCATTTTAAGAGGCTATGCGTTTTTGCTAGCAATTCCTTACTGTATAATATTTTTTTTATAATTGTTAAACGTTGCGTGATTTCGCACGGATAGAGCACGGTACCTTCTTTTCTAGTAAAAATATTTCCATAAAGGTTTCTAATGGATGATTTTAAGTTCATAGATAAAACTTATTCACTAAATTTCAAATTTGTAGTTTTCAGTATTTTTTTTTAGTTAAGGCATTTTTCTCTATTAAAGAGATTTGTATCATAATAATACTTGTACAAAAAATATCTTTCAACTTATTCCTAGTTTTGTATTGACATACTTTGAGAATCGTTAACAACATCATCAAAGCTTCATGCACGACTCTGTCGAAACGTTTCATTTCATTATAACCGGCAATCGCAGAAACATTCCTCATGTTATTTTCGTCATTACCTGAAAATTTACCAGCGTTAGCAAAAAACATACTATTAGTCTCACATACCGGTGTAAGGAATGTAGGCAACGGGCCAAATTACTCTAGCCGTTGAATAGTTTAATGTTTGTGAATCAAGTTTAACGTATTTGGTTGTATTCAGTTTTGTTTTGCTCAAAAACAATGTATGTTTATTCATCGATTACTGCTTCTATTAAATATTGGTCTTTGCATTTTTGGTCACTTAGCTCATGCTGTCTACAATATCAACTTTCTATTATTTTTTTTATTAATTAAACTAACACAAACCTAAAGCAATATGATAGGCAGTGATTACGAGAATGCTATATGTCAATGAACTTCTTATCTCTCATATATTTCGTGAGCATCTAAAGGTTAAGTGCAATCACATGTCTGCAACTCGATCCTCTGTCTGTACATAATTGTAAAACGTATAGGCAATACAATGTGCGATCGAAGAATAACTTATATTAAAAGATTTTTTTCTATTACCACTGCCTAAGATTATATTTGTATGTATCATTATTACTTTTGAAAATACTGTTTGAAAGTACATTCTTTTTAATCTTTAGAAATAGGCGCGCATTTAAAGCTTTTCAACTACTTGAGTTTTAAGTGCATTGTAGGTTCGGTATAAAACATTTGCAGTCGACTTGGAACGGGATTGCAAATGCGTGTAAAGGAATTCCGGAACAAAAATGCGCACGTCTACCTGCGTCTTGTACAGTGGTACCAGATGGGCGTCCCTGTCTCTCTTTACGACCCTCATCCTCGCGCACATTCCACCACTAAATGCATAAATTGATTACGTCGAAAATCTGAGAAAATCGCGCACTAACTATGTGCAGCCTCCTTGCCAATCTGCCGCTACATGTGCAATTGCCGCTTTTTTAGTCCTCACCGCCGTCGCCATGGGCTTCAAGAATGTGTGATTACGTTAATGTTTTGTCACGTAAAGCCTCGCTTCAATTATGGCCTACAAATTATTAAATATGACTTCCTATTAAGGAACTAGAATCTTTGAATAATTCAGCAAATGTACATCGGATTTGTAACGACATACGGTGAATGATTCGCGTGCAGGACACTGGACGAGGTCACCGAGGATCCGTTACAGCCGGCACATCAGCGAGCCGAGTTTCGATTCGACGAACTTATTACGACAGATGGCCGCGGCCCGGGAGGCGGGAGCGGGCGCGGACCCGGCCCTTCGAAGAGATCGACCTCCGAAATGCGCCCGAGATTGCATTCTTTCGGCGGCGCGGGCGCATTCCACTGCGCGCCATCCGAGCTCCGCGCGCCCGCGCCAGTCGACGCGCGCCCTTTTGGGGGTTAAGATGTGTCCGTTGCGGCGGGCACTCACGATGTGGTCCCAACCGCCTCCCCCAGAACCCGAGTCTGACCCGCCGACGTTTCGCGCTCGCGCAGCCTCCGTCGACGCTCATTCTTGGTGCCGGGGTTGCTTCGGCACTCGTCAGCTTGCTCGCATGGTTCGAGAGCCCCTTGAGTATGGGGTCCGCGTTGACCCAACCTCCGCCCGGCCGGCCGGCTTGATGGTCCGCGACGAGCCCCAGTACCAAAACCTGGAGGTCCTCCGCAAGCGCCCCGAGTACGCTAACCTCGACGAGATTAGTCGCGAGTTCGGTTACCGGTTGTGTCCGGAAGGACAGAATTTAGAAGACGAGGCTATTTACGAGAATATACTGTCTGTGCGCCAGATTCGTTCCGCGGAAGTGCGTTTAGTGCCAGTGTCTGAAGTGGCGTACTATGAAGGCCAAGGTTACGTAGCTACGCAGGTGTTGAGTAGGAATGGGACCTTTCCACAATGCCCGCCGAACACCTGGAGTCGTTTGCAGCATGCGTGCAGAATGACTGGATCATTGAAAGTTTTTACTGTAAATATCCTTAATTTATTTACGATTTTTTTTTATTTTTAACATTTTTGAATTAAAAATTTTAAATTTCAGACCATTTCACCTGTGATGGTAAATACCGCTAACAAACATAATTCCAAGTGACTAGACATGAGCGTTAATCGAGTATTAAATTTACTATAACTGTAATGTAAATTTTAATAATTACAAAATGCTCTTGACTAACTCTTATGGGTTTATAATGAGGGTATTCATTTTCAAACGATTTATAAAAAAAAATTTCTACATCAATTCGTGATCAATTTTATTATTTTCTAATCAAAAAACTTTACTCCCATATTGGCATCGTACAAATTTTGTTAATATTGGAGCAGTATTCTTAGGACGAAAGATTCTGCTTCACAACTTTAATGACTTTCATGTTACATGTTTCGTAGTTACATTATACTTCAAATATTTGAATTTAGAATGTGGAATCATGTGTCTACAATAAAACCGGTAGCTTACTCTGCTCCGCGACTTCAATGAATCACGTTTTATGTTACATGTTTCGTAGTTACATTATACTTCAAATATTTGAATTTAGAACGCGGAGTCATGTGTCTACGATAAAACCGGCAGCTTCATTTATCACAAGCCGGCATAACCATACGTATAAACCCTGTTGATTACAGAAAGAATTATCGGTATCACATAACTATCATAGTCACAATAAAATACAGACGAATCGAGAATCTCCTCCTTTTAGAAGTATCTTAAAAATATCAGTATTTTAAGGAATCATGTATGGTTTAATATACAACAGGATGTTACCAAATAATCGGGTAGTTATACCTACCGGAGAACTTTTTACGGATTGCGAGCAAAAAACCAATACTCGTGTAATAAATACTTAGTTATGTTCGCCACAAAAACTTTACAGAGGTATTTTGCTCTAATGATTCGATAATTTTGGTAGCAGTACGTTGAATTTCGTACGCTAGTGTGAAATACGGTAACCCGTCTAAGTTTCGTTGTGTATTTGAGCATCCTTGATTTGGCTTTATATTGTTTTTAACCGATTTTGAAAACAACGAGATTTTATATTTGTCCTTTTAGTAACTTTAAAAACGAGCACTTTTTTAATTATACCGTATTTTAAAAGATTACACCGTATTCAAAAAGGAAGAATTGCACTGCATTTTAAGTGACTTGAAAAAGTTTCTAAATTATACTGTATTTTATGTGAATTCAAAAGGGAGGAGTTCTCAGTTGGCTTATATATATATTTTTTTATTTCGCGATGCATGTATTTGTTCTGAACAATTTAAATAAATTGCTTTTCTGTTCTATATTAGTTATATAAATATAAATTTATATCTATGTGAATACATTGTTTTGGCAAAATACTTCAACGTCGTATTTACCTTTCGTGTTGCTATTATTTTTACGACTTCGTTAAATATTATGTTAAGCCGGCATTGAATTGTTAGTATTGCTTTAAAATCGAAATGTTAGCTAAGTGTTACAACTGTAGTTTACCTTTCATTGAATATAAATAGATACTAAAATAAATATCATATGAATAATAAAGTATCTAGGTTAATTAAAGATGTTCCTAATTTAAATGTATAGACACACATTGTTTTACAAAATGAGCAGAGCAATTAAAATATCTTTTATTAATTTTAATGAGCAATTTAAATATGCAATCAGAATAGTTGTTCCAAAATTATCAGATCTTATAATATGGGAATGAGAGGATTAATAGATATCCATAAATATATTTTTTATTAGTATATAAGTATATAACATAAGATATAAAAACATCCAGACTAAAATGTACGGGAATTGAACTCGTAACCTTTCAATAGAATTCCATTGGAAGGTTGTGAGTTTAGATAGAGATTAGTATGTTGAATAGCGATATTACTAATGTTAACAACATTAGTAATATTTATTGACTGATCAAAGCCAACATTGCTAGCACTAGAAACATTCAAAACAAGAGTTCCTTCATAATCTAAGTAATGGGAAGGTATTCCCCGAGATTCCCACGGGAATTCACGCAAGCGAAGCCACAGGTAACAGCTGGTTTACACATAATAATATTACGAAATAAGACACGTAAAAGTTCAGACGTAATGATGATAATATAGAATTAAGTGATTAATTCCAAAACATGTTCCAGAGAGTAATTTTAATGGTGAAATATACGTCCTCTGGCTAGTTGGAAACAAATTGCTTCCCGGTATATTTTTTTTATGCCCAGTGAAATTATTTGTGATTAAATTTTTTGTGATACGCTTATGATCTATGGTTTTGATAAATCATCTTATTGCATATTTGAGGCAGACCATATAATTAATATCGATTGCCTGCTAGGCTCGTTTGATCCGAAGAGTAGATTATTCGAGAATACATCGTATTAATATTTTATGTGTAGGTGATTTATCTAGAAAATTTTTATTCGCCATCGAGTAAGAGTGGTTTTGTTTTTTAATAACGATTGCTGGTTGTAATTTATTTTTTCGTACGGTTTATTCTTATATGAAGAGTGTGATCTATTAATTTAAACAGGTTTGAGTAAAAATATTATTTGCCGTCTTTTTGCCGGTTCGTGCATTTACCGATCTTCGCTCCTCTCTTCCCTAGAATGAGGCCTTGTATATAAATTCAAATGCAAATTAAAATTAATTTTGAATTATCTGAGAATTTTTCTGTCAGTTGCATAACGTCACGTTCTTATTGACATCGATTTATTAGAGAGTGATGTTTTATTCGTCATAAACTCTCGCGTAAAGTGTTTAGACAATTTTGTTTATTTTTATTAACAATAGACAGTAAGTTTCTGACTTGTTCGACCCTGAAATGTTTGATACATTTTCATAGTAGGTAAAGTAGGTTGCCCTTGATAATATTCCTGTGTGTAGAGGATGACCTTTTCTATACTTAAAAGAATGCACATTTTATGTGTCTTTTTTATTTATATATATATATATATATATATATATATATATATATATATATATATATATATATATATATATATATATATATATATATATATATATATATATATATATATATATATATATATAAATGTGTAAAGTATTTTTTATATATTTTTGTTGTTTTTTATACATTCATTAATATATTATTAATTCTCCTTGTTACAGGCGAAAAAGGAAATGTACGATGTGAAAAAACAGCGTCTGTGTTTAGCCCAAGACGAATACAAGCATTTGAACAATGCGCTGTCTACCCTCGCAGCGTCAAGGACGAGTCGTAAGTATTTTTTTCTACTTTATATAACTATACCATATTATAGAAACAAGAGCTCATTATTGACCCATTATTAGGCACTGGTCTCTTCTTATTAGGAAGATGTTAGTGGTAGATTCAGCGAGGAAAGTATTGTTAGTAATAGAGTCATCATAATCAGGTCATCATATATATGCCTAATCAGGTCGTACTCCACACGTTCCTCTTGGAATCAACTATGGTTAATTCTTGATAAAATTCTTGATGATTTGTGACGATGGGCAAACTGATTTTATCCACATTTATCATCATTCATTGATATCCCGCTAGTGTATACTGTTAGCGCAGATGGGGTTACTATTCCATTATTATTCATAAAAAACAGTCTTCTATTACCACGCTGGCCAGGTGCTTCAAATGTGCTTGTTTATTTAACTATCCTTCTTCCTTAGACAGTCTTTACTAGGGCCGATACACGGTGACACAGTTTTATTTATTCTGTTCCCACATAGAATAATTATATTAGACAATTATGGTACCTACCATGCTTTATATTTCGAATTCAATTCTCGGCTGAGTCGTTTTAGTAAATGAAATTTTTACAATTGTTCAGATTTTTCAGAAAGGTAAAGTATCATAGTTCAATGACCGCAAGATTGATGTTATTGTATGACACTATTTATAATAATAATTAGAATTTATATCACAATTAAATTGTTTTGTGATTCCGGCATAGAGTGAGTCACCACTTTCTTTCCTTTGTGTGTCGTAAGAGGCAACTTAGGGAACTTAATGATCGAGGGACGGACAGCAGCGTCCCTCTTAAAACATCAGTAAAATCTAACTGCGGTTGCCAATTTGCCTGCCAAGTGTGGCAACTACTGGAAAAACTCCCCTTTTTGGGGGAGGCTTATGTTCACCAGTGAACAGTAGACGACGTATATGATGATGATGTTGATTACAATTAGAAAATTGTCGTAACTTTTCCATGACTTTGTTTACTCCGAGAGTTATCTGGTATTAGGGTCATCAGTAATATGCTGTCGATCGTAAACCCTAAGGCTTTTAAGATATTTTAAGAGGGACATTACTGCTCATCCCTCGCCCTCTCTTAGTCGCCTTTACACACACACCTACGGGAAAGGTAAGGGCGGCCCATTCTATGCCGGGGCGTATACGGTGAAAGATGTTTTTTTATTCTTTATTGTACACAAAAACATAATGTTAATCACAATTCATTATAAACATAATGTACAAAGGCGAGCTTATCTCTAATAAGAGATTTCTTCCAGCAAAACCTTTTTATGTAAATTGTGTTATTTTAAAAATAAAATTAAAAATGTTTATACCAAATAAAAAAATTAAGCACGCATACTACTCGCATGAACGTAGTACTCATGCTCTGTACTCGTTGGTATAATTTATTTCTTCATAAGAAAAACTATATGCAAAATTAATCTACTAGTTATTTCTGTTTTGCGTCATACTCGTACATAAATGCAATAATATAAGTAACGATTGAATAACAAATTACTATTAACCACAAGGAATTATTATAATACGAAATATGCCATTTGAAATTCTAATTGCGTGCACTGAATAGTTCAGCATGGATACTAGAATTCATTTGGTCGGATGTATGTAAAGTTATTTCACTTAAACATCGCCTACACGTTAGGGGCCCATTAGATGATAGGTTTTGGTTGTCAGTTCTGTCCCCGTTATGGCTATGAGTTATGGAAATTTGAGTGTGTAAATTAATTCTTTAAAGCAGGAGGAGGTTCTCAATTAGCCCTTATATTTTTTTTATGTAAATATCTCAGTAAAATTAAATAAGCCGAAAAACAAAAGAAAGAAAGAAACAATTATGATTTATCAATTTATTTACCAGGGGCCTTATTACAAACTTAAAAACTTGACAGGTTTAGGTCACGTGACCAAAAGTTGATCTGTTTTGTCTATGCCTTGAGTATCAATCAAGGACTCCTTGTTCTTAGGTTTTACTTTGCAAGGAAGATCAGTTAGATTATCTGTTAAATCTATTAGATTTTATGTGCTCACAATAAAACTCTATATCTTAATCATACTTTTTTTTGTTTCTCTGATTTAAAGATATACACCGATAAATAAATCTATTTATTTATATTTTTTATTTCTTTATACAGTGTGTTCGTCAACAACGTCGATGACGACAACCTCAACCACATCACGGCACGATCCCGAAGTGCTTCGGTCGGAAGTGGCGCAAGCGCGGGGACGAGTAGCCCAATTGCGGAAGGAATTACGGCAAGCGCGAGCTGAAGTGGCCAGCGCGCGCAGAGGCGTAGATACCTTGGCCGAGTAAGTATAATAATATTTAAAAATTAAAGACTCATTTATTTTCATAAGTTTATTGAACATTTTTCAAGATTCTGGTAAGGTAATCGATTGAATATAGTTTTCTGTGATTTTAAAGAAATCGGTTGTTTTAATTTTTGCGGAGCAATAAAATTTTTATTTAAATTTATATAAATAACACATTGTTTTCCAAGTTTCCAACTGTTAACAAATCCTTACTATGTGTCTTATCTTTTTTGTAATATTATAAAATTTTTGGTAACTTTCACATCTAATAATTTCAGAGTGGAGCAAAAAATATGTTCACAACAAGGCTGTTACAACATCACTGAAGCTCAGGCGATCATGACTGAGCTAAAGAACATACAGAAATCATTAACCTCAGGAGAGAAAGAGAGGGCAGATCTTATGCAGTCCTTAGCTAAGCTAAAGGATGACCTGACAAGGCTGCAACTCGGTGACGCTTCTCCTGACCTTTCCACGTTGAGTCTTCCCCAAGAAAAACTCAGTACTGCCTCCCAAACTGATCTCTGTGCTGATCTAGTACCAATCGGTACACGATTAGCTGAAATGGCGCGGGTTCGACTTCAATATGATGAAGCTAGAAAGCGGATACAACAAATCCAGCAACAATTAGCTGATTTAGAGGATAAAGTGCAGCCGGGCCAAGCGGAGTCTGACAAAGATCGCTTATTACTGTTCCAGGAAAAGGAACAACTGTTGAGGGAACTCAGAAGTATAACTCCAAGGACAAGATCGAAGCAAGAGATGACTAATATACAATCAGAGTGTGAGAGGTTAGAGCAGGACTTGAAAAATGCTTTCGAAATGTCCAATAAGTGTATAGCAGATCGGTTAAGGTTGCACGAAGAGAAACAGTTGTTATTACAGCAGTTGAAAGATGCTCTGACCTCGATGACGACCTTGGAAGGACAGTTGAAAACGTTATCTGCTAGCACGCTGTCTGTGTCAAGTAGTTCCAGCTTAGGGTCCTTATCTACAGCTAGTAGTAAAGGGTCTTTGAGTTCGGGGATTAGTTTTACGGACATTTATGGAGGACCTCAAATTGCGAGTTCTTTTCAAGCAGACAAACCTATTGATATGGCAGATTTACATCGAAGGGTTGAGAGGTAATATTACAATTCCATTGATTTTTATTTTCTTAAATGATGGTGTTTTAGATATTTTCTATATTTCTCGTACTCGTACGTAGTACAGGATAGCTGTTGTAATCTTTAATTTTTAATTAAACAATTTTTTTTTGATAAAATTGCCGCTAAATTTATTGATCATTTGTTTTTTTTTATTAATCCTGATGCTTCTAGAAATTTTCTATAATTCTCAAGACTTAGGTAAATCAAAATCGTACTATAGTAGTTCAGCATTTATAACTTCATTCTTTTCACTTGTATAATTTGTCGTGTTTCAAATTTGCAGGTTACTTCGTGGTACGAGCTATACTGCGGACAGTATAACTCCTGGTGCTAGCAGCTCACCATCACAACCTTCTTTATCACCTAGGAGTAGTCTATCATCAGCGAGTCCACCGCCTCCACCACCTTCTTATAATCAGGTAAATTAAGACTTAAAATATTTTGAAGCATTTCTAAATATACTTATATATTTGCTAAGCATATTTACTTTTCATAAAAACGTTATTGAATTAGATTATTATAAAAAAAAAATATTTTAATTATATTTCATATAGTGAAATTCTATATTTTATTAAAGAAATTAGTAAATTTTTGTATTATTCATATTTAAACATTAATTGTATATCAATGTTATATTAGATTAGACGTTTTTTGATATATGGAAAATAATAATATATATTTGGTTTGGTAATAATAATAATTTGGTTTGGTCATTTGGAGAGGATGGATGAAAGAAGAATTACGAAAGAGATTTATCGAGCAAGAATGAATGGAGATGTCGATAGGGACCGCCCTAGACGGACGTATGTTGACCAAATAGGCGACGTGCTGAAGAAGGGCCAAATTAAAAGTACCCGTAACCGGCGAGCGTGTATGAAAAGATTGATAAATGTGGAAGAAGCGAAAGAGGTTTGTTTGAATCGAAGCATTTGGCGTTCTATTGTTTCTGCCTACCCTAATGGGGGACAGGCGTGACAGATATGTATGTATGGAAAATAATGATATTGATATTTTTTTATACCTCGGTATCTACATGTATTATTGGTTTGCATAATTTATTGGTATGGGTTGTATTTACTATATTTTACATATATAAAGTCATATGCCAGAGAAAATTGCTGTTTATAGTTTTGATTGACAAATTAATGCTTCATTATAATCGTTATCATGTTATTTTTTTTATTTTTCAGGTGGAAAGACAGAGGCGACAACAAAAAGAGTTGGAAGAAAAATTAGCAGAAATGAGAATCGGAGTTGCAACTGGACTGAACGAAGTTACAGGCCTTGCCACAAGTAAATATTTAAATTTGTACTGAGCTATCTATATTGTTGAAACCGATAAGCTTTTTTCAAGTTTTTTTTTTTTGTAACAAAATATTTTTATTTTTAAGCAAAGCCCATAAATGCTTATTATGCCATAGATAGTTATTAACGTAGGAGACTCTTTTGATGTTGTTTTTGACCTATATTTCTTTGGAAAAAAATGTTAAGTTTGATTGCTAGAACATACAAGTATGATAATAATTTCTATTTCAATCTGTATACAAGTCTCAATAAGGGTGAGGGGGGGGGATTGTTATCAATGGGGAGGTTGGCCCCCATTGATATTAATATATGCTACCAAGTCGACCTCCATGCGGTTCCACCTGGAAACCATCATAACTAATTTATCGTTAATTTCGTCACGATGGACTAACTGACCGGCTTTTTCATCCTCACCTATCATCTCTCACTGGTGCACCGCCAGAGTATACCAGATAGCGCAGACGGGGGTATTATCCCATTATTATCCATTAAAAAAAATAACAATAACTCATGTGTTGCAGTACCAGTGCAATTACAAGGACCAGGGCGGCCGAGCGAGCCACTATCTCCAATTTCCGAGACGCCCTCTGCACCGCTTTCTCCAAGAACTCCCTCGTCTAGTGGTAAGTTCTTTTTTATAATATCACTAGTATTTACCAGAGGGAGACTTTGTACAAAAGTTGATTGCTTAGGTACCTTTGTCCCATTCGTGTTTCAACCGTGAAGCAGTTGTGTTTGCATGGCTGTGTTTCGGTTTGAAGGGTGGGATATGGCGTGAATTTACTGGGTACAGAGGAATAACACCTGAGTCCTCAGGAATGGCAACGCATGGGAGGTATCATTGGCGAAACAGTACACTCTGTTATGTCCATGGTACTGCTCATGTCTATAGGCGACGGTTACCACTTTCCATCAGGTGGGCCGTCAGCTTGTTTGCCATTCTAAGTTGTATAAAAAAAAATAACAATTATTACTATCATACCATTTCTATTTGATACTTAATATGGCAAAAATACTAATGGCCAATTGAGGGAAAGTGCAATCAGTGTCCTATAGATATGAATAACACCATTGACATCATAGAATACAGTATGTCACATATGATGTGGTTTATTATAGAAAAATTATGTAATTTTGATTTTTTTTACTCCTTGTTAATGTCTCATTGTCGTGACATTCGAATACAAATTATTGTTTATGAAATAAAAATGAAAATAAAAAAGTTTATATCTGTATCTAAATAAAGTTAAGTACAGAATTAAGCATCCGTTTTAAAGTATTGGTTGAACATTTGTTATTTACAGTATCAAATACCGTTTTTTACACATGCATTTTTCAAGCATAGCTTCAAATAGGTTAAGATTATAAGTAATTGTTATAGTTATGGCATATTGAGTTGTGGCCGCCTCATATACGGTTCAATTTTGCATGTTTATTTATTGTAATTTGTTTCAGGTACAAACACTAGATCTGTGTCGGCGGCAGTCAGTGATGAGTCGGTGGCGGGTGACTCGGGCGTCTTCGAAGCGGCGCAAGCAGGGAATGACGCTACCAATGCAGGTAACAGCTAACAGCGTCTTGCTACCTTATTGTTTAGCTTTATTATGCTTATCTTTTCTGATATTAATAAGGATAAATTTTTTATAATATACAAAAATATTTCTATAAATAAATATATATATATATATATTTAACATTGCTATTTTTTTTATCATTTTAGTGAGCAGTGCGCAAATTGAAATCAAATTGCGATACTGTCCAGACGAAAGTGCATTGGAGATCGGCATACTGCGCGCGCGCAACTTGCACGCATTGCACATAGACATTGACACTGAAATGTAAGTTTTAATTTGTATTTTAATATTTATGATAATTTTAATAAATTAAAAAATAAAAATAGACGTTGAATTATCAGTTTACTGGCATACTAATATGCATTCAACTACTGAAGTTATAAATGGTGTTTTATTGAAGATCAAACGAACTTAACAAGTGAAGTTCGATCATAATTATGTGAGCAGCTTCATTCCACGGGATTTATTGTCGAATATTTTTTTTTTTGATGGGTGAAAATGGTATGGTAACCCCGCCCGCGCTAACGGGATACGCTGGCGGAGCATCAGTGAAGGCTGATAGGTGAGAATGAAAACAGGCCAGTTAGCCCATCATGATGAATTCATCAGTAATTAACCATGATAGTTTCCAGGGGGAACCGCAAGGAGGTCGACCTGGTTGGGTATATTGCTAGCAATGGGATTCTTAGTCTCCATTACTAACAATCCCTTTCCCCCATCCAATTATTCTAGAGTTAGTAGTGTAAAATGTTTAAGTAACTTAAGTGTCTGTATTTAATAAACATATTATTTAATTCCTGCGATATTAGCCCTGAGCTTAGTGAAACTAAGCACTTTTATTGAGTAATTGTTTTATTGGGTATATTGCTAGCAATAGGATTCTCAGTCTCCATTACTAACAATCCCATTCCCCCCCTATATCTAAAAATGTAGAGAAATACGGTGGTTGTAAATATTACTATGTTAGAATAAACTGTAAAGGACCAAGCTGAATGAAAGTCGAACTAGGGGTTTAGTTGAAAAAAGCAATATGCAGAATGCAGTATGGCAATTGTCTGTATATATGTTACGTGTGGTTGTGCAGCGTGGTGCGCGTGGCGCTGATGAGCGGCGGCTGCGCGGGCGGCGGCGTGGTGCTGAGCAGCGCGGCGCGGGCGTGGCGCGGCGCCGCGCTGTGCTGGCGCCACGCGCAGCGCGCCGCCGTGGCCGGCGCACGCGCACTGCGCGCCGCCACGCTGCAGATCAACGTCTGCACCGGCGCCGAGTGTCTCGTGAGCGTGCCTCTATTTTTTGCCGGACTTTGGGAGACTGGTGTCGTTTTGTACAGAACTCATCTAGGATAGGATGTAATAGAAATAATGTTTATTCGAATAGATCTGTTCATGTTTTAAATATAATAATTCTGCTGAGAAGAATCTGCAAGAAACTCAACATTTACACTTTTCAATATCGTGTAGATGTATCGTACATGTAATCGATTGTAAATATTTGAATTTATAATACCAAGTTGTGTTTCTACATCAAGACACGAGAAAATTTTGCTTCGCAGTAAACAGTTTTTCATTAATAAAGACGCCAAAAAAAGGCAGCTTTAAACATCAGAAAATTTTAACATGAAACGGACACAAAGGTTAACTTTTTTAATTGCAAAAAAACTTATTAAAATCATTAAAAGTAGAATTGGAAATATAAAAAAATATAGACATAAGACATTCCATAATTGAAATATCTTTCTTTTGTAACTTCAAAATATTTATTAACTAACTTTACTTGCCTTTAACTTTACCTGCGACTTAATCCGCATGACCGAGATAACAAATAGCATATGTCCTTTTCCATGTCATATAATATCTGTACACTAAATTTCATAGTGATTGGTTAAGCCGTTAAAGCGCTAAAAAATAACTATTATTAGTAAGAATAACAGAACCATGTAAATGTATAAAAAAAAAAAAAACATACTGAGTCAAATTTTTGTATGCTGACTCAAATTTTAAGCTGTCTGTGGTTAGTCTATCAGTCAGCCAGACTCATGTAACTTCGTCTAGACTGAACTCGTCTGTCTACTGACAGCATGGATACCACGACACTCGACTGGCGTACTGCCAATCGTCTGTTGTGTGACCACAGACATGACTGCGGCTTTTGGCTATTGAATTATTGATCAAGTTTCTAATAATAGATACAATTGATGTAAATAAAAATATCTTCAAACGTATTAGGAGTTATTTACGTGAAGATAATTCTGAATAAAATAATAAAAATACAACAAAATTATCAATAGCTATTGTTTACCCTTCACACAATGCAATACACTAAGTTTATATTTATTTGTTATATGCTGTATAAATATTTTTCTCTTTTGTTGTATTCTAATATTTAATCATTACCGTCAATTAAATCTTTATTGATCAAATGATAATAATTAGCATTTGTGTAGAAGTGTATTGGGTATATTAGTCTGTACAATTTTTTTTTTATATAACTTAGAATGGCAAACAAGCTGATGGCCCACCTGATGGAACCGTGTTAACCGTCCGTGTTAATCCGTGTTAACCGAGTGGTAACCGTCGCCTATAGACATGAGCAGTAGCATGAACATAACAGAGTATACTGTTTCGCCCATGATACCTCCCATGCGATGGCATTCCTGAGGACTCAGGTCTTACTCCTCTGTACTCAGTAAATTCACGCCATATCCCACCCTTCAAACCGAAACACAGTCATGCACACACAACTGCTTCACGGTTGAAACACGAATGGGACAGAGGTACCCAAGCAATCGACTTTTGTACAAAGTCTCCCTCTGGTATAAAGAGAGGAGATTTGATTTTTTGTTAGTAATGGATGACACAAAATATATTTAACCGATTAAAAAAAAATCAATCATAGAAAGCTCCATTATTAGTGAGAATTTTAGTTAAAAAAAACATAGGTAGCAGTAGTCCGAGTGGATCACTAGGCATTTATAATTTCATTAAATTGAGAAAAGGGATATTATTATAAAAATTACTGAAAAATACATTTTTGATGGACACTCAAAAAGGATTCGAATTAAGAACATCTTTTGAAGTCAATTGAATGTGATGACAACTAGCCAAATTTGAGTATTCGGCTGCAAGCCTCGAGTGCCATGTGAATAATAACAAGGCGAGAGCGATAATTTACTGAAACGTCTTTATATTTCAAATTGAATTGTACTATATCTTTTCGTCCATAACAAACAAATTTGTCTGCAGGGATGTGCCCAAGTCAGCTTGGCGGACTTCGATCTGGATGCAGTTTCGCAGAAGTGGTACAACCTTCTCAGTTTCCGCTCTATGAGGAGGGACGAGAGTTCGGACGAGTCTACGGTCATATCTTCGCAAACTTCCACGCTCACAAGAAACAGAGGTGAGTTTGTATTGTTTTAATGTACTCTATACTTGTTTTTATCTCTAAACTATTACAAATAATCGTGTGATAGTGGCGCCCTCTCATCATCATCATCTTCCTGTCTTTACCTCAATTATTTGTGGTCCGCGTAATATATTATATTCTATATTATTCAATATTTAGGCTTATTGTTTTACGATTGATAAATCTGTTCTGATAAATAATTTTATTACTATATTTTTAAGGCTATGAGTGAAACCAGGAATATTGTTTTTTTTTTTTTAAAGGAACGTCTCCCACTCTTCAAAATTGTTTAAAAATGCTTTTTGTGTTTCAGGCCCTGAGAGCATGACTGGTGCGGAGTGTAATGTAGACTGTGGAGATAATTCAGCTTCAGAGGATGAGGAGTCGAGGGAACCACTTAATCAAGTAAGTGTGAATGATCGTAGGAAAAGCATAGTATAAATTTTTTTTGATTTGCTATATCTGTCTCACTCGTGCTTGCATGGCTGTTTTTGAAAAGTAGGATAAGACGGTGAAATTACAACGTACGGAGACATAATGCCATAGAGGATTACTATCGGCGTCATTGTGTATTCTCTAATGTCTATGGTACAGTTGATGTCTATAAGGCAATGATTATACTCGTATTCTGATTACCGTCATCACTTGTTACCGCGGGAAATGTATATACTTAATGAATCTACTTAGGGATAGGTATTGGAATCCTTTTAGTATAAGATTTTATACAAACCGCTCAGTAATTTCAGAGACTCACGATGAAAAAAATATAGCTTTATAATAGGTGTATTGTTGGTTCGGTAGTGTCCATGGCCAAGTCAAGTTTTATAAGTACTTCGTTTGTTTTTAGATTGTCGAAGAAGATTCGTCGGAAGATTACATCCCTGAAGAAGACGAGGTTTTGGAAGAGGAATACCTACCATCAACAGCAGAGAAAGCTACAAATACAGAATGCAACTTCTGTCCAGAGGGAGCGAGACAACTGCATAGAAGGTATATTTTTTATGGTGGCATAATTTTATATGGTGTGGAATCTCCATTGTATAATATGCTGTAAATAGGCCTCAGTTGGGTGATGGTTATTATATGGGTTTTCGAGTTAATCATCTTCACACGTACATTTTTAAACTCTTCAAAATAGTACCTAATAGTAGTATTAGAATATAGGTTTCTAGCAGATACTGTGTACGATTTATTAATGACAAGATACACCCGATTGTTTAATATTTTTTTTTTAAATATGTTATTTATTTTTATTTCCTCGAAAGAAACATTAAAGTTATACATTATTAATATATCTATGTAAATGTGTGCAAAAGTATCAGTATACATAATGTGTGTGTGTGTGTTTGTGAATGGAACGTATAAATGTCATCATAATCATAACAACATGTAATGTACCACTTTTGGTCACACGTTTTACTCCAGAGGGGCATATGAGCCTACTATAACTATTTTAGTCAGGGGGCATGTTCTGAGCGATTAAAACCTGTCATTTTAGAGACCAAATTGAATTGCCCTGCAAATTGTTACTAAATCCATAGACAAAGTAAACAAATTTGTAGTCACGTTATCTGAACCTGTCATGTTTTTAAATATTAGTAAAAGCCCTTCGGCTTGGTGTAGAGTTTGGATTTGGGGAATTTTAACACTGGTTTATTCAGCTTTATTTCCTAATCACCTATCTCTCCTCACCTATCATCCTTCACTGGTGCCCGGTTCTGTCATCATCCGTTAAAAAAAATCCTTGTTATGTAAAAAAGTAGTGAAAAATATATTCTAACTCTGTACAACATGGAATATATTTGAATATGTTTGGTATTGGTATATTAAGTTGGAAGAATGGGCTTAGGTGGTGGGTTTTTAGGTATTGAGCGGTAATTTCTTTCACCAGATATATGAAATGCTTGAGACGAGTGGAGGCAGACGGCAGGCCTCAAGAGGAAGCGCCGTTAGCCAAATAGTTATATCCGTCCATACATACGTACTTGTACATAGTTTTATATCTATATATAGGTACGTTTACATTGTGTCGCACTTGGTGTGTCGCTTCGTGAATGTATTCGCTTGAAACTAATGGATTATTATATATTGGACAAACTATTTTATACATATATAAAGTATTATATATTATATTTTAGTATAAAATATATATTTATATAATCTGTATACTTCTGCGAAATAATGTCACAACATTAGGGAAGTACGGAAGTGCACAGCCAAGTCTTTTTTATGTTATTCTAGAGAAGTTAAAACTTGAAATAGTTTTGTATTATATGTGCGGGGAATCCTATTAAGGAAAATTAACTGCAGCGATAATATAATATAAAACTTATAATAATTAAGATTTAAATAGATATTTATAAGAATACATGGTTCCATTTTTGGTAGCAAAATTAGGTATCTAATTATTTATTATTTAAATTTTTTTATTTGTGAAAGTAGAATAAAAAAAAATCATATTAACATAAAAAGAAAGATAAAATAATAAAAGATTTGAAGAATTTTAAAATAAATGTTGTAATCTAGAAATTAAACACCATTCTCAGCGGGATCAGAAATATCATATTTTTAATCCATTAAACATGAACATATTCTAAATTGAATAATATTTTTTATTAGTACTACTAATTATTTATTAAAAGCAGAATGCATGTTCACTCTGATCACAAAAGATAATAGAAATATGTACTTATTTACTTTAATACTTAATGCATGAGTAGCATGGACGTGGCACAATGTGAATGTATCTAGTTCAACATAAAACACATATACTAACCATGATTTTGAGATATTTTACATTATATTTTGTTTTTTTTTTTTTCTTGTTTGAATATAGGAGAGATTTTTATTAAAGTTTTTACGATCAGTAGAAATTTCCTATATATAATGTTATACTAAAACCAAATACTCGTGTGTGTGGGATGTTTGAATATTATTTCTTATTGATTTTGTATCGTTTACAGGAAAAGTCAGCAAGTAAACGCAAACCCAGAAGAGTCACTAGCGACCATAAAGAGATCTCAAACGTTTTCACCACAACCACAGAGTATCGGCAAGGGGCAGTACATTTGTAGGTTAGTAACAGTAGTACAAAGTTTTCTATCGAGATCTACCTATATATTTAAGGTATTATCCTCGAACTACTAATAATCTGTATTACAGCTTGGTATTCGATTGTTAGGCCTATTTAAAGCAGAGGGAGACTTTGTACAAAAGTCGATTGCTTGGGTACCTCTGTCCCTTTCGTGTTTCAACCGTGAAGCAGTTGTGTTTGCATGGCTGTGTTTCGGTTTGAAGGGTGGGATATGGCGTGAATTTACAGGGTACAGAGGAATAACACCTGATTCCTCAAGAATGGCAACGCATGGAGGGTATCATGGGCGAAACAGTATACTCTGTCATGTGTATGGTACTGCTCATGTCTATAGGCGACGGTTACCACTTTCCATCAGGTGGGCCGTCAGCTTGTTTGCCATTCTAAGTTGTACAAAAAAAAAGCAGTCTGCAGAATATTAATAGTTTTAACCGAATTCCAATTTTAATTTTATTATTAAATTTTTATTCGCGTTAATTAATTCACGTATATTATTTCTGTGTATGTTGTTACACTTCAGGTACACTACTGTAAAAACCACATCCGATTTGCGTGAATCTATAACAAACATACAAATAGATAAAAAAAAATATTATTTTGGCATCTATTTGGTCTTGTTAAGAGTCCTCTCATGTACAGTCTTCGTCTAGCTCAAATTGTATTACATTAGTAATATTATGACCTTTATTTCAGATTAAATCGTTCTGAGTCTGACTCATCGATGGCGCAGTACGCACGGCGTGTGACGTTGCAACCGCCTATAACTACCGGCATACCCTTCGACAGGAACCGTTGCGAGCGCAGATCTTTGCGGTAAGTCACATAACTCAGTATTTGCTCTGCTCTGATTTCTATTTTACAGTCCTCTATCTATAATCGTGATATGTAATGTTACAAATGTCAGATTAAAAAATACTTTCTAGAGACATAAGCAGTTTTAAAGATTCGAAACCAGACCAGAGGGAGACTTTGTACTAAAGTTGATTGCTTGGGTACCTCTGTCCCATTCGTGTTTCTACCGTGAAGCAGTTGTGTTTGCATGGATGTGTTTCAGTTTGAAGGGTGGGATATGGCGTGAATTTACAGGGTACAGAGGAATAACACCTGAGTCCTCAGGAATGGCAACACATGAGGGGTGTCATGGGTGAATCAGTATACTTTGTTATGTCCATGGTACTGCTCATGTCTATAGGCTACCACTTTCCATCAGGTGGGCCGTCAGCTTGTTTGCCATTCTAAGTTGTATAAAAAAATAAACCAACCAAAAAAATGCACACCGAAATTAAACAGAAATTGCACTTGCTGAAAATAAAAAAAAATTGTTTTATGAAATTATCATCGAGAATTCCATTAATAAATTGGGATCCAACATTCATCTTCCATGTAAAACATGTTTTTATGTAACAGACGCGGGCGCAGCTGTGCGTTGCGTCGCGGCGTGCTGGGCGCGGCGGCCGCGGGTGGTCGATCGCGCGCACCTCGTACTTCTCTGGACCTAGCACTGGACCTGCGCGCGCAGCACTCACGCCTCGCCGACCTCAACAACGACATCGAGCACCTCACCGAGCTTAAGAAAAAGTACGTATAAATACTAATAATGCATTATTATTATTTATTATTAAAAAAAAATAAGAATTAAGTAATTTAAAAAAAAAATAACATTTTGTTAATTATATATTCGATAAAGACATGTGAAAATTGTTTATTAGATTTGCCATTCATTCGTTCAAAAGAAAAATAATGTAAATGAAATTTAAGTTACATTGAAATCCAAGAACATGGCAACACTTTATAAGTTTTAAATTTTACATGCTTAATTATGGCGAAATATGAGGATTTATACCTATTGTTAACATATATATACTCACCTTGTTTCATGTAAATAAATAAACACCTAGTTATATGTACTAAATGGACATCTCATCTCTCAACAGATTGGAAGAAGCTCGATCATCAGGCGACCCGGCGGTGGCGGCGTGGGTGGCCGAAGATGACACCTTCCGGCGACTAATCACGGGTCCCAACGAGGCTGGCTCCGACCGCACGTCCCGGCTGCTGCACAAGACGTACCGCGAGATCATCAGGCTGAGGAGGTCACGGCAGGGAAGCAGAAAGCCTGATATTGTCACGTTCAAGTAAGTCCACTTTGATGTCATACTCTAGTGAAGTCTGTCTGTGATTCTGTTCTGTGATCTTGTAGCTTTTTTGGCTACGTATTGTCATGTAATTGTATCATTAATTGTGAGAAATAATAAAAAAAAATCATTCAGGCATTCAATGATATTAAGATAAAAATAATCTTATACTAAATCATCATCATCATTACATATCAGCTTTTAACTGTCCACTAATAAACATAAACCTTTACCTGAGAGGGTTTTGCCAGTAGTTGCCCCGCTTGGTAGGCGGATTGGCAATCACAGTCAGGCTTTAGAGATGTTTTAAGAGGGACACTGCTGCCCATCCCTCGCCCTCTCTTGTCTCTTACGACACCCACGGGAATGGAAGGAGTGATCTATTCTATACCGGGATCACACAGAAATCACGAGGATTTAATTAATAATTAATTTACTTTTTCAAAGACTTGTGCATTATAAACGAATAAACATCTTTATGTTCTATTATTTTTTGTTACTATGTAATAACATTTACTTCTATTCACAGAGAAAAGATGGCGTTCTTCACACGCAGCAAGGCTACCATCCCCGTGCTTCCAGGTGAAGAGGCTGACGAGATATCCGAAGATGATTGGGAAGAAGAGGATTTAGAAAGGAGAACACCAGACGGTCGGTCGTCAAAGACGTCGTACGAACGCCGCGAACAGCGCTGCAGCGAGACCCAACCCCAAAACGCTGCAGAGTCAGAATCCAAAGAAGTGGTGGAATGCAAGAACCTCTGCCTGAACCCAGAACCGTGCTACGAGAATCTGCCAATAACCAGTAATAACATCGACGGTACAAAAACACAAGAAGAGAACGAAACCAAGACTGAAGAGGTGAGGTATGAATTTGTTGTTGATAGAGTTTTGGGTGTTCAGGTCTGAATGAATGATTCGTCAACCAATAATGAATGAGTGGATGATAAGAGCGTTCATACCGATGGTCGCCGAAGTGTAGCAACGTCGGAATTTTTTGTCAGTTATAAAAAAATTAACTATTTTCAATATTTCCGATTGATTATTCAAAAATGTTCAAAGACAAGCTAAGACACGCATCGGTAAGTTTCGGTATGAACGCTCTTAGGCTCAAAATGGCCTTGTACACATGGCACCATTAAAGTGAATTTTGCAAATATTTACTGTGATTATTATTGCCTATTGAGATTTCTGGTATGAAGACTGAAGCGAAAATTATTTTATATGTATCGTATTATTAATGTATCAGGACTCGTAGAGACGTACGGAATGTGCAAATAGAGTGCCATAAACACTGAGAGTTCTATTATATATATTAAATATACAAGTTGGATCATTTTTATATCGTATTGTACAAAAAAGTGCCTTAAATTTAATCGGTGCCTCGATATGTAAATGTACAGAAGCCTGCGAATGTGCCATATTGCGGCATGAAATGGAAAGGTAATAGGTACAAAATAGTTGTATGAAGAGTCACAAAATATATACCAAACAATTAATGTAATTTGACGGCGAGGGTGGCTGTTTCATTGTACAGAAATACGTAATAGGCGGCCCACCGAAACGGTTGCCCTGCTGTGTATAAATAAATTAATGAGATATATTATAGTATCCACCGAGGACTTGACAGGCCAAAAATAGACGCTTTGTATATAAAGGCTTTGTTACGCGAGTCGATAGTCGGTGAGTCGTGCATTGTGGAGTAGTACCTGCCCTTAATACATTTCTTAAGGAAACCTTGAGAATTAATAGCGATATTTTCATTAAAGGAAATCTTTTTGATATTGTTTGTTTTTCTATTTCTATACTTTTTCAGAAGTTAATGATTAATTGGTTTTTACTCTGGCGGATAAAATACATTTCATTATTGGTTGTTCTACCGTTCGGGATATAAACTGCGAATTTTTCGCAGAATTTCTGTTAGCAATGGTAGTGGTCAATCTTCGAGTGTTGCCAGTCATACACATACTATTGATAGCGGAATTAAAATAATCTTAATCAAATAACCACATATTGCCTTCAGCAACATACGTCCAGTTTAGTAAAATATTTAGTAATAGTAAATCTTAAGGAGCGTACAAAAGAAGGAAATTTCAAAATAAAACCCTGTGCCAAGTCACGTGACCAGTGTATTTATAGCAGGTTATGTCTTCCTAAAACACGAACAAACCTGTAATTAGTCTCTTATCTCATACATTATATGGGCTCTTATAGCATTGAATGCCAATATATAAAAGATGATTAAAAAAATCATTATTAATTTTCAAGGTCGACCGAATCAAAAGTCGCAAAACGTGGGCACATAAAAACGTTTATAGCGTGCAATATTGATACAAGTAGTTATCACGTTCAGTAAGGCACTTCACACACTACCAAACTGCCCGCGACCAAACGGAGTCGTGTACGATGAATATCGCACATTGAACAACTAATGTACACTGTAACATGTCGTCAGAAAATACTAAACAATTTAAGTCGAGTGGTGTGTGGAATGACTTACTACCATATAGATATGAGATCTGATTTTGTCGGTGTTTCGATTCATAATGTTTAGTTGCTTTGAAAATATACTATCTGTATCGTTTAGCCAATTGATCTTAATAATCATACCTAAACATAATTCCTACATACCAGTGACGTCTATTTTGCTTACCACAAGATCGTAGTTCGAACGTAGCGTGTCCCGTTCGTTGCTATAGATTATTATTATTAATTTTGCACAACCCCATGTGAATCGTGACTTTAGTTTAAGTGTGCTATGCGATTATAGTAGCGATATCAACATATAGTGGGAATTATCAACCATTAAAAATGTCAAGTTTGATTAATTCATATTAATTTCACTGATTGAACATTTACAAAATTTTAATATTTTGTCTTTTAATTACTGTAAATTCTGATTAATTTATAAGTCTTAAATTGTACTAAATTTAGATTTTTTTTTTTAATAGAAGAATATTTAATAGCGACAGTGAAATTTATCTGAATATAAAAAGTATTTTTTTATCATTTATTTATTACTCAGTGCAGTTCATACTTCTATAGCTTCCAAGTAATAAATTGAAATTGTTATTACAAAGTGAGATTGTGTTGAAGTTAGTATGTTTTCATTGCTCTACATTAATATAATTTAGTTTTATATTATTATTAGTATTTGTACATTTTGTATAATATTTTTTAATATTATTTTAGCTATAAAATTTTGTAAATAATCTGAAAATAATACTTGTGTAAAAGAATTTGCATATCTGTATTTCTGAAACTGTGTCTATTATTATTATTAATAATAATTATTAGCAATACTAGTGAATGTTAAGTATTTTTATAACAAATCGATAGTCCCATAGTCGGCTTAGTTATGTAATTAAGTGAATACATTTTTGTAAAAAATGTATATTTTATATAAACATTTATAAATAATTTTGTAATTGTTATCGAGGTGAATTTGTATTTGCCAAATTAATATAAGTCTTGTTTTAATTTTTCCATACAAAAAAGGACTATATTTTGTAAAGATGCCAATACTGTCGATAGCAGGTCGATAAAAAATGAAAATAAAAATCATAAATTAATATTTTCTAGTTTGATTTTGGTCAACCCTATTTGGAATTTTATAATAGAATCTTACAGATACATTAATTGAGAAAATGTACTAACATTGGTACTTACTGTTCATGTCTACAGGCGACGACTATCACTTTACGTTAGGTAAGCCGTCAGCTTGTTTGCCTAAGTTGCAATTTTAAGCATAAAAAAAGCAACAGTAATGAAGTGGAATAATAAAAGGACAAAAATGTCTTTCGCAGAAAATGAAAACGTCCTTATTTATGATGGATGGTACATAATATTTAAATACTGCTTGCACTTTGTCACAATCTAGCATACAATCTAGAAGTGCCATACGTTTTTTGCTAACACATTATTACACCAACTAAAAAAAAAGAACGTGCAGCCTAATACAAAAAAATTATTTTTCTTCTGCCCACGCAAATCAAATATTACTTACCTTTATTTCTATTCAATTTATTACGTATACTCTAAATACATGTATTGGAGGGAGACTGTACAAAAGTAGTTTGCTTGGGTACGTCTGTCCTACTCGTCTTTCTTTCGCCGTGAAGCAGTTGTGTTTGCATGGCTGTGTTTTGGTTTGGAGGGTGGGGTATGGCAGTAAAATTGCAGGGTACAGAGGCATAATACTTCTGTCCTCGGAAATGGCAACGCAGCTAAATGTATAATGGGCGACACAGTATACTTTTTTGTATGTGGTACTGTTTATGCCTAAAGGCGACGGTTACCACTTTCCATCAGGTGGGGCGTCAGTATATTTGCCATTTTAAGTTGCGTAAAAAAATACATACGGTTCAGTACATAATCATGCATAAGTGAAAAACAACTTTGTAACTAAATTTAAAATTACAAGGGTGAATAAATTTAATGACATTCCGCATAAAACAATTAACCCAATTATGGTAGTAAGTAGGTAATACTGGGTAGGTTTACGATGTTATTTAATTATTGAATATTAAAATTAATAGACCGTAATTTACCATTTCGTAGCTATTAATAAGTTCCACGGAACCCTAAAAATGGCATTATGCAAATTTAAGCTGAAGAGAACTTGGTTACGCAGTGATTCTAATACAATCACTACGATATTGACGTTTGAGAATAGGAAATGAAACATGACATAATATTAGAAATAGTTATATCAATTTAACAAAAAACCGACTCAATCAATATAATGAATCATCTTGAAAAGAATTTCGGCTAAAAAAGGATCACGAAAATCGGATTAGAAATCTTGGAGATTCGACATACATACACGTAGATACAAAAACAGTTAAGTAGTATTTTTTTTATATAACTTAGAATGGTAAACAATCTGACGGCCCACCTGATGGAAAGTGGTAACCGTCGCCTATAAACATGAGCAGTACCATGGACATAACAGAGTATACTGTTTCGCTCATGATACCCCCATGCGTTGCCATTCCTGAGGACTCAGGTGTTATTCCTCTGTACCCAGTAAATTCACGCCATATCTCACCCTTCAAACCGAAACACAGCCATGCAAACACAACTGCTTCACGGTAGAAACACGAATGGGACAGAGGTACCAAAGCAATCGACTTTTGTACAAAGTCTCCCTCTGGTAGTCTAAAACTATTTATATTAATTAAAAAGAATTTTGATAAGTTTTTGAAAATAATGAGCTACCATATTTATATTAACTGCGTAGTCCTGGCATAAAATAGGCCACTCCATCCTTTCTCGTAGGTGTCATAAGAGGCGACTGAGGGAATTTAATGTTTCAGGGATGGACAGCAGAGTCCATCTTAAAACATCACTAAAAGCTAACAGCTGTTGCCAACCCGTCTGCCAGGGGGGAAAGGTATTGTTAGTAATGGAGTCTGAGAATCCCATTGCTACCAATATACCCAACCAGGTCGACCTCTTCGCGGTTCCCCCTGGAAACTATCATGGTTAATTCCTGATGAATTCATCATGATGGGCCAACTGGCCTGTTTTCATTCTCATCAATCACCCTTCACTGGTGCTCCGCCAGCGTATCCCGTTAACGCAGGCGGGGTTACCATTCCATTTACACCCATAAAAAAAACCGTCTGCCAAGTATGGTAACTATTGACAAACCCCCCTAAGTGGGAGACCTATATTCAGCAGTGGGCAGTTGATGACTGACGCGATGATGATGATGTATATTTTACATTATCGTCGTACAGCTTAGCTTCATAATTAATACGAATTTAATAACTATTTATTTATTGAAATAAACGATAGGAAAATCTGTTTTTATTGTGACGATAAATTTGCACGATAAGGAGCTTTGCTCGTGTAAATTATAAAATCCCTTAATTTAAAATTACATTCGTCGAAACATTGTTAAACAGTACTGCAGTCAAGTTTGTCCAGAAAGAATTCACTTGAAATATTCAACTTGGCATACAACTACGTGTAAATCGAGCGTAATAAACAGTAGCCCTTAATGCATAGGTTGTACTGCGGAGGTTTTCATTCTGGCACGCGAAGGGCCAATCGTAGGTACAATCTACACTCACAATCGCTTAGATTACACTTCAAAATAACTGCTTAAAAAACACTCGCTTAATTATAGTGCAGCTTTTTTTAGTCAAGGACAAATATTCAATTGTTTTCTACTTTAATATTAATAAATAATGATTTGTAGCACACAACAATTTTTTTATGTTTCATTAATTTGTCGGCATTGGAAATACGGCCCCAGGTCAGACTGTTGACTGGAATAATTAATAGTTAAGATTGTGTTTGAAAAAAAAACCGACTTCAGTTGTCGCAATTAGTTATTTTGATTTGAAAACTAAATTATAGAATCGATTTAAAATTGAGAACCTTCTTTTTGAAGTCGGTTAAAAAACGAATTGCATTACGGCTTATGTGTTATGTTTTGGATACTCATAGGGTATATAATCGAACATCCATTTACCTTTGTAATATGTGTACATATCATGACATAAACATTTTTTTTTTTTAAGTTAAATGCCTTCTTTTTTCTCTACTTGTAGATACTTTAGTATATTTATTATACGAACAACTTCATTATTAACGACCAGTATGCTTATCATTCAACAATTATTGTAATTCAGAAGAGAACTAATTGTTGACCCTTCTTTGCATGATTTTTTTTTATTGGTGAAATAAATCGAGATGATATAATTCATGTTCAAAATTAAAGGAAAAATGGTTAAAAAAATAAACTTGACTGCTATGGATTTTTTTTTCTGCAATGGACATTAAAAAGGTCAACGTAAAGTGAAATTGTACTTTCACATAATTTTTGTGTATTCAATGTTATGATGGAAATTTCCACCATTATGCAAAGAAGGGTTAAATATTAAAACATTCCTATTAAATTCTAAAAACAACCAGGCACCAGTATATCCAGGACAGGATGCCTTAAACCCAAAAAACCAGGGCTAATAGTAAATTGAAGACAAATGAAATTGTAAGTCGGTACGAAACAATTTCATTATTGTACATAAAAAAGCTAGGTATGGTACATTCCAGTTGAGTAAACGATGTTAATTCATTAGAAATAAATATATTTTGCAAACTCTCAATATCAAAACTCACTATCAAAATCGGCACTATTATTTAGCGTACAAGCATTAACAGCGGTCAAGTAACACGCACGGTTCCGAAGCACAGGATATGTTAAATATAGCCCAAACTGTGAGCGACGACTAAACAACTTTTGTATTGTACACTTCAGCGACGAGGTGAGGCTAATTTAGAATTTTCTAGAGTAAAATTACTACGTCAGTGACGTAAATAAAAGTAAATCTGGTTTTGTTACCGAAGCGCATTATTTTATTTATTTATTCTTTATTGACCAAATTACAAAAAAATGTCTGGTACAAAAGGCGGACTTAATACTATATAGCAATCTTTCCCTGTTAACCTTTGGCAAAACATAAATTTGAAATTGCTGTCTGGTTTTCAAACTAGGATATCCTGTATATAAAAAAGAGATTATCTGAAAAGAATATTTATAATTATGAATTTAATTAGTCACTTTCCTCTTTATTATTGGTTATATAGTTGAACCTAATAGTGTAAGTCGCCGTGTGGTCCCGGCATAGAACAGACCACTCCTTCCTAATCCGTGGGCGTCTTAAGAGGCGACTGAGGTAACTTAAAGGTCAAGGGATGGTCAGTAGCGTCGCTCTTAAAAGGGTTCTCTCTAAGGGTTAACTGCGGTTGCCAAGCATGACAACTACTAGCAAAACCCTCCCAATATAGAGAGGCCTATGTTCAGCAGCGGACAATTTACAGCTAATATGTTATTGTAAGTTTTATATTAAAAAAATAAACTGTAAGATTATATATTTATAAATTTATTGATTGATCTAGAACTAAAATATAAAAATTATGAAGTTTATTTTAAAAATATTGATATAAAAATTATTACTCTATATAATATACAAAAGTAAGAAAAAAAAAATTAAAAAAATTATTACATACAAATGTCATTTACAAGAGACTAGCGGTAAATCTATTCTATTCGATATGAACTCGTTTTGATTCTAATTCGATTATATCAAAGTAAACCTACTAAAATATGAGTCGATATAATTAATAAAGAAAAAAAATCCCAAAATTATATTACTCCTAAAACAAACTCGGAACCTCTTGGTTACGTCGCTGGTCAATAAAGGCGACCTTTATTTAAACAAGTAAATAAATATGGCGTCGTTAGATTTCCATAATTTGGGTATAGGCACTTACCAGCGGTCACCATCAATCATGGAAGCTTTTCATGTTTTATAGAAGCTAACGATTCGTATTCATGAATTTTACATGAGCCTGCATTTATGTTGATTTTAAATACTGATACATACAATAATGGGTGTGATCACAATCTGTTATTTTATTGTAAATAGTCAATTTTATAATGTCTAATTTGTCAAAATCTCTTGACTGAAAGATAACACAATACCTCAACTGGCCGATTCCGAAGTATAAAATGTTACAGTGAAATTTATTGTTTTTTTTTTATACCACAAAGGTGGCAGC